TCAGTGTGTATGGCCTCCTATGAAGTCTACGCTAGAGGGCAGATCCTTTTATGGACGAGGTGACGCGACAGTCATACGACACTCACGTGACCGGAGCCAAAACTCACACTTTTATCACTAACGGTCTTTAAAAAATAAAACGTATATAATAGGCGAAATTTCAGGCAATGGCTCTTCTTCACAGAATATCTAGAGAGTCGATCTCCCTCTCTTATGTTCTGTTGTGATGATGATCCTACAACGTCACCTATTACATTTAAACTAAAACAATGTTTTTGCTTTACCAGCTAAGGCCCATACAGAGCTGCTATTTCGCTCTTTTTCAGAAGCGACCTATCACAAATGATAGCGCAACGAAGCGGCTTATCATCATCATCATCGTCATCGCGTGGAAATGTATAGCAGCCAAACAATCTGAACGCCGTGGGTCTAACATACACCACTGCAAACTCAGTATCACTAACTTGTTAAATGTTTATGCCCCTCGGTCAGATATTCAACACACTCACCTGACTCAACCACTCGTCACATCACCTGACATCACAAGATACGCGCACGCTTCGAATTACACACGAGGTACTGGAAGATGAAAACAAGGACAACATTGTACATGTACATATACGGAACAGACAATGAGGACAGCAGAAGATGGAAGTCAGTGGCGAAGGATTGCTCGTCGTGCGGCAAACCCTCGGGTCGAGGATGGCCGAAGACAAGGCAGGAAATAAAGGAAATGGACATCGAAAAAAATTGAACTTGAGCTTGCCCTGTCATGGATGAAAGGGAACACTGCTGATGGTTCGAGATTAAAGTTATGGTGGCAGCAAAAAAAAAGGAGGAAGCATGGGCAAGAGACAAATATTGCACATTCCTGTGGGTGAAGGCAAAGTTCACCCATAGAAACCACACTCCGAGATACAAAATAAATGCATCATTTTTGTATTTACACGTTCATGTTTGACACCATTTCTTGTGTCAATGTTTATTTTGTTACAGGGAGTCATTATCATGAGACCAAGTATTCAATCTTGATTTGAAGCTCTCGTGACTGCAGTGAATCCAAACCCTTTGGTTATTTCGGTAAAGTCACGCAGTTAGAAATAAAATCAAACAAATCACGACGTTTCGATTGCAACACAGGCAATCTTCATCAGGTGTGGCAACCAATCGAAACGCCGTGATTTGATCGGTTTTATTTTATTTCTAACTACGTGACCTTACCGAAAGAACCAAAGAATATAAAGTATTCATTTAAGTGCCTTCTCTGGTCCACACAGGAGGCGGCAGCATTTTGCCACACGGCTGAACTTAGTTCTGACCACAGGCCCTGTCAACCCCTTATCAGTGCCCAACCTAATTACAGATCAATTCAGACCTTATTGCTCACCCTACCTTATTACAGACCAATTCAGACCTTATTGGTCACCCCGTGCCCCTTATAAATCTCAATATTTATCCTACAAAGTCCCATCACAAGGGAGAAACACAAATAGACCTTTTTTTTTGTCCGTATTGAAACGGCTGTACGCCGTATAGACCTGAAAAACTCAATTTCCCTGTAAACCGTACGGGTGGACACGGTACGTGGGAGTAATGTGTTGTTCGAATGAAAGTGAAACCGATATATTTATTTTAAAATTCTCAAGATCTCAAAATGTTTCCAAAATGAAGTTAAGAACCAAATGCAATTGTGACGGGGGGTTTATTTATTTATTTTATTGTTGTGCCATCATGAGAACATGAACTCACTATGGTGTGTCTGAGACAACCGGTTTTAAATCATAGGTTGCTGCAAACCCCGAAATCGAATGATAGCATCTTGACCTCTGAGCCAATCCCAGACACCTCGTCGTCATCTCAATCTTTGACATCCACAATAGCGGTGTTTTTATTATTACACGCTTTTTATTTAGCTCACTGTCTGTTGTTGTTGTTGTATCCTCAAATCTTGTAACTCAATTGTAACCCACTTCCCAATGTGGTATCGACTGCAAACTTGGTATACTCATATCATACCGATGACAATACTATATTCTATCAAAACATTTGTAAAAATATATTTTTAAACATAATTTTTTATATGTTATGTTTCGGCTTGGGTCTAATTTTCCACGGTCAACTGACGCTGGCTGTAAATCACCAAGGTCCCCTTAAGTTGTGGCAAGCTTCGGGGCCACTTCCTGGAGTCGTGGAGTTCTGCCATTACTCGTACATTTAATAAAAGCGTGTTTAAAAAGAAAGTTTAAAAAAAAAAAATCTATTACTTATTGTTGGGTTAGATCGCGTCAATATATAAAGCTTGTGTCGTTAAACCCGCCACCACCCGACACGGCCAATTGGCAAAGTTTGTTCACGTAAACAGACCATGACAATTCGTTACGAGTACAGCACGCACCGGTGTGTTGGAGGGTAAACCCACAACATTCACAACCGGTGTGTGCTGTGGTCGGGTGGTGGCAAGTTACACGACACATTTATATGCTTACGCGATCTAACCCAAAACACCTCTATATTATGGACGAGGGGGTGGGTGACAGAAGCACGCCCGGCCGCCTTTGTCTCCCCAGTGGCAACGTTCACACACCGCAGCAGTTACTCGTTTGAGGCTGAGTCGACCTAGAGGAGGCCCAGAAGCGGTTCAAATAATCGTCACCGGTGGTGGCCTTGAGCGGGAATCGAACTCGGGTCGCCGGGTTCGTAGCGCGGCGTAGCGCTAAGCGCTACACTACAATGCGTTATACACAGACACACACACACTGACAGCGCGCTAACCAATACACTACAATGCGTTACGCTTCCACACACACACAGACACACACACAGACACACACACATACACACACACAGACAGCGCGCTAACCACTACACTACAATGCGTTACGCTTCCACACATACACACACAGACACACACAGCGCGCTAACCGCTACACTACAATGCGTTACGCTTCCACGTGCGCGGGTCACGTGACAGATGTGACGTCACAGCTCACTTGCCGTGCAAATAAAATATGCATTATTGAGCTCCCCCCCTAAAAATAAAAAACACACAAAAGTGTATTTGTATAATGTTTGCATGGTGTACAGTCTGTAAAGTACCCGCACGGCAAATTTCAAGTTTGTTGCATGTCGGGAAGTACGCTAAACATTTTGAAACAGACAACACATAATCACAACTTTGCCTTTTATATATTTATGCGGAGACAACATTGGTCGCGCAAGCCCCACTACTGCCACCGAAGTGCTCGACACAGAAAGGCCCTAACAAAGTGCTGGTGGACATTCCACATGTCCATGCCGGGAGAAGTCATGGGCAAATTGGTCGCGATCGATGTCAGAGGCAGCCGGCAATGGTTGTTAAAACCGACTCCTGGACAATGCTATATACAGCACAAACATTGAGCACAACAACAACCGCCATTCGCCACTAAGTGGCGGTGACGTCACCACGACGCTTGTGCCAGGCTATGTGCACCCTGAGGCCACGTGAAGTGTCGAACGCCCGCTGGCAGGAGGTCACGGGGCAGACCCAGGTGCCACGGGTCGACTGACTGAGATGACTGGCTGATGCACCACCTGTGCCCCCTACTGTGCCAACCTGCTGTGCTTTAGCCACCCGGCGCTCCGCTCGCTGTTGTGAGCGTCGCTCCTCCGCCCTCCGTTGTTGTTGGAGGGCGACTGCCTCCAACTGCCCAGTAGCATCCTTCACGAGCCTCCTCCACAGAGGCCGATCTTGACACCGCTGGTACCAGTCATCGGCAAGTCCACTCAGCTCCACGTCCTCCTGTACCACATCACTCCATCTCTTCTCTAGCCCGTGCCGCGCCCGCTTAGCCCCCTCAATCCGGCCAAACAAAAGCTGTTTCGGCATGCGGTGGCTGGGCATGCGGGCTACATGACCCAGCCATCGCAGCCTTGCCTGCCGGAGGAGCTCACCGATGGGACCCTGCCCAGATCTTTCAAGGATTTGTGAGCTCCTCACACAATCCAGTCTGGTTAAACCCAGGATGGATCGTAGGCAGGCCAGCCTAAATGTTTCTAACCGGCGAAGATGTTCCATTAGGGGGGTCCACGTTTCGCAAGCGTAGAGAAGGGAGGGAATGACCGTGGCCGAGAAGACCTGAAGCTTAGTGCGGAGCGACAGACCAGGTAGCTTCCACACAGCGTTACGCAACCGATGAAAAGATATTGCCGCTCGACTGATTCGGAGTGAGACACGCACACACACATATATACATTGTACGGAATAAGAAATCTAAAATGCAGTACACTGCGCGTGGACATTCCACGTTCCCGGGCCGGGAGAAGTCCATTAAAAAAAGATCACAATTTTAATGGCACGGCGCTGCATATGCACGTGCACCGAGCGATTTAACCGCGGCTGATTAAAATGTTCAAAAGATACGCGCGCGACGAATGCCCATTCCACATTCCGAGGCCGGGGGACGGGCGGTGGGGGAGAGTTGAAACGTAATTCTGAAGCGGTTGTAACAACGCTTACACAGTATGTATATATTTATTTTTAAAATGACAACTATTGTAACTGAACTGCATACGACGAGCCTAACGTTTCACGGAACATGCGAGTGTGTCGTGGTGACATTCCACATTCCTATGGCTGGAGAAATTTTACACTCGAAAACCATAACGTTAAAGCGTGAACGACTAAAAATATATGTATACACACACATATGTAGTGTATTAGCAGCGCTGCTGCATAGGGGCGTTAGCGTGACGTTTTAAGATACGTCTCCAAGTCAACAACAACAACAACACAGAGGAGCGACTACCATTCCACATTCCCGATCCGGGAGAAGTCCATCTAAGGCGTTATGTGTGGGGAGAGGGGAGGGGGGGTGAGGAGGTGATGTATAATCGAACGCGACCAAGTAAAATTAATGAATTTGATCGTTTCGAGCTCGACGTTTAACTGTACGCAAAATAGTCGCGGTAAACGTGAACAACCACCTCACCCACCCTCACCCTCGCTGCACTGTACTCACCAATGGCCGCCCGCGATGCAAGCCTCAAATCGTCAATTGAACTCGTTCCTGAGGGCCACTATGGTCATCGCCGCCACAGCTGAGACTCGCTGCCATTCAACAGTGCATTCGTTCGTTACGATCACAAGCTTTGCCCCCTCTCCCCTTCCCTTCCTCCCCAAATGTTTCTTTTAATCAAGAGCGAGAGACGAAATAATTCGCCATAAATGCTGACGGCGGCATCGATTTTTGTGGTGTAGTTTTAAAGCAATCCTTTCAGATTTCCCACGGCGGTTGGGTTACGTGGTGGGTGGGTGGGTGGGAGGGGAGGGTGTCGCTGCCCGCCGTCTGATTGGCCGAGGCGGCCCGGGGTGGCTTTTATATGGCGCAGGCTCGACCAATCGGATGCGTCGCACGGAGGGAGCGGTGCCTGTCCGGTCTACGGATTCCGACGCTCCTATCCCCCGGCAACGTTAACGCAATGCACCAGCAGGCCCACCGGGGGATTATTGTGTCCGTCCGTCCGTCGTGCATTCAAAAATGGGAGGGGTGGGGCTGGGTGGGGGGTGGGAGGGGTGGGGCTGGGTGGAGAGGGGAGGGTGGGGAGGGGCTGGGTGGGGAGGGTGGAGCTGGGTGGGGAGGGAGGGGCTGGGTGGGGAGGGTGGGACTGAGTGGGGGGTGGGGCTGAGTGGAGAGGGGAGGGTGGGAAGGGAGGGGCTGGGTGGGGGGAGGGGTGGGGCTGGGTGGAGAGGGGAGGGTGGGAAGGGAGGGGCTGGGTGGGGAGGGGCTGGGTGGGGAGGAAGGGGCTGGGTGGGAGGGGTGGGAGGGGTGGGGCTGGGTGGGGAGGGGCTGGTCACCCCGTGGTGCCCTTATAAAACTCAACGTTTAACCTACTCACGCCGGCTTGTGCCCGCCCTCACAGTCGGGCATATTGTGCGGAATGCACCACGTGGTGGTGCCGCCGTGTGACCCTGGCCATTGACCGAGCAACCCAACGTTCCTACTACCAGCTCCCTCCGCAGGAGAACGTGTTTTACCTACGCGACTTCACCGAAATAACCAAAGAGTATAGAATCAGAATTATTTTTCAATTTAAAGTTTTCGTGAATGCAAGGATTCATCTTCTTTGGTTCTTTCGGTAAAGTCACGTAGAATGAGAATAAAATAATAAAATAAAACAATAAAATTATCACGACGTTTCGGCCACAACACAAGTGGCCTTCTTCAGGTGAAAGGGACAGACCTTTGAAGCTCTGTCGGTTGTGGTCGAAACGTCGTGAGAATTTTTTGTTTTATTTTATTATTTTATTCTCATTCTACGTGACTTTACCGAAAGAACCAAAGAAGATAGAATCAGAATTATTGTTAATTCGTTACAGATTTGTAAACTAAAAAAAAATTGGGGTTACATCGCGTGGATATAAAGGTGTTCTTCTTTGGTTCTTTCGGTAAAGTCACGTAGAATGAGAATAAAATAATAAATAGATAAAATAAAATAACACAATAATATTCTCACGACGTTTCGGCCACAACACAAGCGGCCTTCATCAGGTGAAGGGACGAGACTGTCTGGTAGGACAGCGCTGGAGTGAAAACTTAAAGGCCGTGATCTGAACGTGGCTCTTTCACTCCAGCGCTGTCCTACCAGACAGTCTCGTCCCTTCACCTGATGAAGGCCGCTTGTGTTGTGGCCGAAACGTCGTGAGAATATTATTGTGTTATTTTATTTTATAAATTTATTATTTTATTCTCATTCTACGTGACTTTACCGAAAGAACCAAAGAAGATGAATCATTGCAGTCACGAAAGCTTTAAATCGAAACATAAAGGTGTTGTCGTTAAACCCCGACCGCCACCGTCCAGCCACCGAACCATTTCGTAAAGTTTCTTTATAGGTAAACAGAAGGTGCCAATTCGTTACGGGTAAGGGGCCGCCCATAAATGACGTCACGCACCTATGGGGGAAGGGGGGGTCAGACATTTGTGACGATGTGTGACGAGGGAGGGGGGAGGGGTGTTTGAGAATTGTGACGTCACATGAAAACGCGCAACTTTAAAAAAATACAGACAACACGTTCTGCTTAATTAAATAGACTTTTTGATAAATGTTTTCTCCTACAACATCAGAGTGCAGCGCCACCTTAAATCCGCACTACAATGACAACAATAGTTTAAAGCGATTTGAAGCATGCTTTATATATATTTTTTGGGGGGGTGGGGGCAGAGCTTTGTGACGTCATATCTGAGGGGGGGTGTGTCTGACTTTTTGTGACGCTGTGTGACGTCATTTATGGCCGGCCCCACACCTGCAAACCCGTTAACGGTGCCCTACCTTGTTACAGACCAACTGAGACCTTATTGGTCACCCCCGTGGCCCATATAAATCTCAACGTTCATCCTACAAAGTCCCATCACAAAGGGGGAAACACGCAAAAAAATAGACAAATTATGTTTTATTTTGCCCGCATTGAAACGGCTGCACGCCGTATGTACCCGAACACTCAAATTCCCTGCCACAAGGATACGAGTTAAACCGTGTAAACTTGACAGGCGTGAATAACTCAGTAAAAGATCAAGGGAGAAAAACATTCCTAAACAGCGTATTAAAAAAATAAGTGCCGAAACAATAATCACAACAACAAAAAAGGTTCTTCTGAGTTCAATATCACGCAAACTCTACACACGTAAAACTGAGCGCGATAAGAACTATACGTCGCGGTATCATTCACTTATCGTGGGAGATTGTTCGACAGTTATAAAGCAATAAACTTCATAAATCCACAAGGGCTTTTGCTCACCACACACACACTAATAAACATCGCATCAGCCCCGTGTCGCAATCGCTGCAGCCACCGTTAGCGGAAGTGAAACATCCTCGCGATTTGCTGTGTTTCTACGAGTGTTCTCCAGGCCGGTATTACTCAAGAGGCCACAGTGAGCATTGAGCCCAGGGTATATCTCACTCACCCACCCACTCACTCACCCACTCACTCACTCACTTACTCACCCACCCACTCACTCACCCACTCACTCACCCACTCACTCACTCACCCACCCACTCACCCACTCACCCACTCACTCACCCACTCACCCACTCACTCACTCACCCACTCACTCACCCACTCACTCACCCACTCACTCACTCATTCATCCACTCACCCACCCACTCACTCGCACACTCACCCACTCACTCACTCACCCACCCACCCACACACTCACTCACCCACTCACTTACTCACTCACCCACCCACTCACCCACCCACCCACTCACCCACTTACCCACTCACCCACTCACTCACCCACTCACCCACTCACTCACCCACTCACTCACCCACTCACCCACTCACTCACTCACCCACCCACTCACCCACCCACTCACCCACCTACCCACTCACCCACTCACTCACTCGCGCACTCACCCACTCACTCACTCACCCACCCACCCACTCACACACTCACTCACCCTCTCACTTACTCACTCACCCACCCACCCACTCACCCACCCACTCACCCACCATGGCCGTATTACCCAATAGGCCACAGTGGGCACTATGCCCAGGGCCCACTCACCAACTCACTCACCTATATACTCACCCACTCACTCACTCACCCACTCACTCACTCACCCACCTACCCGTCCACTCACTCACCCACTCACCCACTCACTCACCCACCCACTCACCCACTCACTCACTCAGCCACTCACCAACTCACTCACTCACCTACTTACTCACCCACCCACTCACTCACCCACCCACTCACTCGCCCCCTCACCCACTAACCAACTCACTCACCTACTTACTCACCCACCCACTCACTCACCCACTCACTCACTCACCCACCCACTCACTCACCACGCCGCCGTTGACCCTGGCCATTGCTTCGGATATTAATCCATTTGCTTCCGATATTAATTAATATTTCTCGTGATATTTAATCTACTACCCTGATGAAACTACCCTAACCCCTAAATGCACCTCCCCACCCCACGCCACCCGAAATAAATGAAATTTTAGCTGTGTTTAAGAACAAGTTAAAAAAAAAAATCCGGTAATATGAATCATTTTTGTATTCGTGGTATTTCGAGGGAGAAGGGAATGCGTTCTGTCACCAGGGATGGGTGGCTTGTACTGGTAGGAACGAAGTTGTAAACTGAGTGTACCAGCCTGCAATAGATTAATGTGTCCGTCCGTCCGTCCCCTTTCAAAAGCCCCATACTACCGTATACCGGGAAACAAATCCTCATTTTAAAATGCAATTGTCATTTTTCGGCCCAGCCCTTAACGATTTTATGATACATTGCTCCAAAATGAGCAGATTTCAGTCAATAAGGATTTCACCATTCCATTCCTCTACAGAGGTTAATTTGTCCGAAGAACCCTCAACGATTTTGAGGGCAAAAAGGTGGGAAGACGCTCTCAATTTGCACAATTTTACGTAACAATGTCATAAAATTGCGCAAAATTCCAATGTTCCTACCAGCCCACCCTGCAGGGACCTGTTCTGGTCCGTGGAAATGTTTGCATCGGCCGAGCGGTCGGCGGCCCTAAAATGTTTGAGAATCACCGCTCAAAAGGTAGGAGTGCTCAGACTTTATCCCAACCAACGCAACCTGCCCATCGACGAACTGCTGGTGTCTCCGCTCGTTTAACAATCACCCGATGAAGCTGCTTGAATGTTATATTCTTAGCTCTTTCGGTAAAGTCACGTTGAAGGGAAACAATAAAATATATATAAAACAATACAAATTCTAACGACGTTTCGACCATAACACAAACGGTCATCAGGTGTGGTTTTTCACACCTGATGATTACCGTTTGTGTTATGGTTGAAACGTCGTGAGAATTTTTATTGTTTTATATATATTTTATTGTTTCCCTTCAACGTGACTTTACCGAAAGAGCTAAGAATATGAATTACTGCAGTCACGAAAGCTTTAAATCAAAATTTAACTGCTTGAATGTTGTTGTTGTAATCAGCAGCGAAACGTCGCAGTAACTCAAATAGTGAATGTTGTACTGTAGTGGCTTTTTACACTCCCAGCACACACCGTTACACTCCCAGCACACACCGGTGTGTGCTGGGAGTGTAACGAATTGGCACGTTTTATTTACGTGACAACCCTTTACTCATTTAGCGTGCTGATCTTGAAGGTGCAATGAAAAATGTTGATACTCCGACCGATGCTCCTGTTGTTTGTGGAGTGACTTATGCAGCCAGCTATGGCTCTAGGATTTGGTGTTACATGTTATTTACGTAGTTTATTGTAAAAAAAAAAATTCGGTCACAGTCCCTGTGATCACTG